TGGCATTTATGCACGTAGTCAAATTATGAAGAAAAGAGTGACATGGTCTTTGCATTATTCAGTTTCTTTATTATTTTGTTAGCATTGGGAGGACAAATTGACGTGGTTTTTACCTCCAAAATTGGTTTAGTGAACCCCATTTAGTCTAGGCAAAGCAAAATTAAAGATTGGGGGTAGTGCAATTAGTCTTGTGATTATACCCCTCGTACTCTCACTCTTGTCAGTTTTTTGCATTTTTACATTGGAGATTGAGCTGTAAGTTAAGGAGGTGGTGACATCAATGGTTCCAAAAATATGAGCACAACAATGACCAGCCAGCAGCAACCTGTTCCTCAACAATCTCCACAATTTCCACAATCATATCCAAATCCTCAATATTATCAATATAATAATGATGCAAATCAATACTCAAATCCATATTCAAAATCCACAATCTTATCCAAACCCTCAATCTTATTTGAGCACCAACCATCAACCTGTTATTTATTTTTATTTTTTTTAACCCAATGTATCATCAATTTAATTTTTGTGTTAACATTAATTAGTAATTTTGATAATTATTAAGATTAATAACACTGTATAAACATCAATTTACATTAATAATAATTATGACTCTGCATCACCTTCACAAACTTGATCATTATTGTGATCCGTGAATGAATCGGAGCATCCCACGTAGTTGCTGTATAAAAGCTAAATCCGATAAATATGGGTTCTATTATTGATTCAATTTATAATTTTGATATGAATTTGAATTTGGTGCGCAACATATAAAGAAAGTGTGTAAACACACATTCCGTCAACTTTGTCATGCTCAAAAGGTATCCACTCGAATCTGAGTTGGGATATAATAAATTATCAACTATATATAATATTTTCAAATGTCCAAGTATTGAAAAAATTCTGCAAGTGTAATATGTCAGAGTATCTTGTTGATTTATACTTTTGATTTACCCAAGACTGGATGGAGCCGTAAATAATCATTCAACATTCCCAAGATGCTTTTTTTCAGCCTTACATTTTTATAAAAAGTAAATTAGTCAATATCATAAACAATATACCAAACACTCTCCCAATTGGATTAATAGGTAAACGAAATGAACCGAGATTTTTGTATACTTATTATGCACTAATTTATGCCCTATCTGTTTCTTTACAATAAGGTATTCCCATGCCTTCACTTGTTCCTTCCAATCGCCCACCATTCTTAATCTCCGACTTCTTTCTTCTTCAAGTTCCTCTCTTTTACCCTTGTAATTTTTAGTCTTTAATTTCCTCTTCAATTGGCCCAAATTCTCCAACTTCTCAGCACCCTCAAACTTTTCTGATTTCTCAACAAATCAATATATAATTCAAACCTAAACTTCCTTTGTGATATTAATCAAAGCAAAACGTGTATGGTTTCTAAAGAAAAATGCTTTCGTAATGAGATGATACATATGGAAATGTTCTTAATAACTTTTATTTTATCCCTATTTAAAGCCAATTTAGTGACAGTTTATTTATTATTAAGGGGTTTCACTTTGAAACTGTCACTTATATATCATTACGAGGATTTTAAATTAATTGGTGTAATTTGAAATTTAAAAAAATTTTTTTTTGGATAAGAAATTAATTAAATCGACAATTGCTCACTAATGCTTGTTTGTATTATTTAATCAAATTTTTGGCATTTTTATGTGAAAAATAAATTTATAACTTGAAGAATATGAATAAATGAAAACGTATATAGATAGAGAAAAGGTATATGGAAGTGATTTAATATTGATAAGTTTAAACATTAGCAGATATTTTAAATACCAACTATTACCGTTAAATTTTATTATATTTCTTGATGATACAGTAATATACAAATAGAAATTTTATTACAGGAATTAATGTTCTTTGTATCAGAAAACCACCGTAAGTCCAATTTGTGACCCAATAACAGATAAATGAAAACTCGCAATATTTGCAATAAACAATAAACGATGCGATTTAAATTTGGGAATTTTGTTGACTATGAAGGGAAGGGGTCAATGATTCACTTCCAAGGCATCAGTGACACCTACACCACGTGTTCCTTTCATATTTTTGTTTGAAAACACGTGGCTATGACTCGCTTGACGTTTCGGCTCTATTTTCTACCATCAACTCAATTATTTGTCAATTCAGAAATAAACCTTTAATCGCAATTATCTTCTATGGTAAATGATCTGGTGGCGTAGAATCAGAAAGAATCGTTACGAAATAGAATATTCGTATTAGCCAAAATTCTTTAAACTGCCAAGATAACGTTTATAATAAATATGAGATGAACATTGTACATTGTATGATCTAGAACGTTTCTTTCTTTAAATGTACTGATAGCTAGCTGTATTCCTGCCGGAGTCATCGGATACGAAGATCTATTTTTAGTTTATATTACAAAGTGATGGATTGTTATCATTGTATTAGATGTTACGCGATCATTCATTGCTTCATTTACGCATCACCGCCAATTAGGAAATGATAGAAATTGCAATAATTTATTTATGAAATTCTCAGAGTACAAGACAAATTATGATTGATTGGATGATGAAACAAATGAATTGATGTACATTTGACAATTTATTAATTGTGTTGATTTATAATTATTTTTTTTTCGTCGTAACTTGGTTAAACATTAGTGGAATAATTTAATGTTCATACTAATTAACTTTATGTCCAAAATAAAAGGAATTATTAATGATATTCCATGTTATACTAAATATATACTTTGGTATGATGCATGAGGATGCAGCTATAATCCTTCTTTTGGAAATTTTGAGAAAGGGTATATGCGTGCAAAAAAAAATTTTTTTTTTTTTTACGCAAAAGATTGTTGGTTTTATTTATAGTTTAATAATTTCCTCGTGATATGAAAACCTTGCCATCCTTTTAAATTTATTAAATTCATTTAGTCTTTATTTTGGTATTGTGCGTTGGTTGTAAGCGATAAATTAATTTGTATTGATTTGATAAATTTAAAACTTTCATTTCATTCAACATCTTAAACCGTTGAAGAATGAATCAACTCCTCAATCTTATCATCAATGAAAATAGTAGTTAGGATGTTGCGGATCGTTGCTGTTACTGATATTCGTAATCGAAACGATCACGAAATGAATTTGATATTAGATATATTCAAATATATTAA